CCAAACACTCATTGCGATAAAATTATTTTGGTAAAGTATGAAGCTTATCAAAATACTTGAAATTATATGATGCTTTGGTACGCGGGTCATTCCCGCCGATTAACTATATTAATATGCAAAAATCAGGTGTTTTTCAATTTCTTTTGAGTAATATATTTACAACCCATTTTGATATTGGCTTGGGTTTGTAGGTACCAAACCAAACCCTTCTATAGAGCAGAGATGCAGTAATACTAGGTTGGTTATTATATCATCGTATATACAAAATGTCATGTGTATTTGTGCATTTGGTAATCCAAATTTATATTTACCTTTGCTATGAAATGTCCATTTTGTCAGGTGGCTTGTTTAGATAAACATGTTTATTGACAACAAAAGCCTAATATTTGTTGATGCACGAAAACACATCCAGGTGCATAAATGATATAGTTTATAAATTGACGAGTGTTGTTTTCTCTCCCAAGAACTATTTTAATTAGAAATGGACAATTATGTGAGATAATTATATATAGTGATACCAGCAATGTCTCAGAGAAGCTGTTACTTAAGTGAGTGAGTTGGGTTTAACGCCGCTTTTAACAGTATTCCAGTTATATCACGGCGTGTCAGCTTAATGTGGAAGGAAAGCCCGAAGTGGTGCAGGTCTCAGACGTTTACCACTTCAGTGAAACCCACGAGCACGGGTATGGTGCTGACAAACCTAGAAACATAATTGAGGCGAACCGGGATTCGAACCCACAAGCATAGGTTTCTGGCGTGCCCAAGGGACACAACTCTGCACAGCGAATCGGGGCGCCTCAGACGACTGGGCCACCCGTGCTCCCTGTTACTTAATAGATAATGACAAGCTGTTATTACTCGTGGCAACAGCGTGTATTCCAACCCTATTGTTCCATGCTTGAATGTGAATGTTTTGTTCTCGTTAAAACTTATAGGAGACATCAAATTACTTTATGGATTGTTGGTTGTCAAATATTCATGCGTAGATTGTTTAATCCACATCTCAATTAAAGTACACTCTTGAGATATCACAACGTCGAATCAATTGAAATACCACTCGTTTAGGATCTCACGGCATTGGAAAGAGGCTTGTGTCATGGATTGTAAAGATTGACAGCGGGGTATACATCCAGGTGCATCACGAAAGGGCGACTCACATTGCATACTACGGTGGCCCATAAGGGACATGGAGTCTGTTTTTCAATATTTTGATATTCCACTTACTTTTATTGTAACCTTTTACAAATTAACCCAATTTGTCATACAAATGTGTGATAAATCATGTATAAAAACTACCGAAATCATGGAAAATGTACTTTCAAGCAGCTATTGAATCGCTCAGATGTGAAGCGAAAATGTCAAAAACAAAAACGAAAATGTCAAAAACAAAACCGCGACCGGAAATACTTTTCTGTATTTTCATTTTAGTTTTTGACATTTTCGCTTTTGTTTTTGACATTTTCGTTTTTGTTTTTGACCTTTTTATTTTAGTTTTTGACATTTTCGCTTCACTTTTCAGCGATTCAGTAGCTACTTTATACATGATTTATCACATATTTGTAAGACAAATCGTGTCAATTTGCAAAAGGTTAAGATAACAGTAAGTGAAATATCAAAATATTGAAAAACAGACTCCATGTCCCTAAGGGGCCACCGTAGCATACATACATACAAGGGAGATTTCTTATTTATTTTTCAAACGAATTCAAAAAAAGAATGTCTTGTCTAAAACTATGTATTTCATGTTTGAGAAGGGAGGGATGTGTTTCAAGATCGAGACAATACAAAAGATTATTATATTATTCACGAACCGACAGTTACTTATACGCTCTTCTTATCTGAAGGTTCAGGTTTCCTCAATGCATAGCTCTTTTCAATGTTTACTGGTGAGTGCTTAGTTCTCGCGTCTGCTTAACTCTGGTGAGTGCTTAGTTCTCGTGTCAGCTTAGTTCTCGTGAGTGCTTAGTTCTGGTGTCAGCTAAGCTCTGGTCAATGCTTAGTTCTCATGCCTGCTTAGCTCTGGTGAGTGCTTAGTTCTCGCGTCTGCTTAGCTCTGGTGAGTACTTAGTTCTCGCGTTTGCTTAGCTCTGGTGAGTGCTTAGATCACGTGCCTCCTTAGCTCTGGTGAGTGCTTTATTTCTGGTGTCAGCTAAGCTCTGGTCAATGCTTAGTTCTCGTGCCTGCTTAGCTCTGGTGAGTGCTTAGTTGTGGTGTCTGCTTAGCTCTGGTGAGTGCTTAGTTCTCGCGTCTGCTTAGCTCTGGTGAGTGCTTAGTTCTCGTGTCTGCTTAGCTCTGGTGAGTGCTTAGTTCTCGCGAGTGCTTAGCTCTGGTGAGTACTTAGTTCTCGCGTCTGCTTAGCTCTGGTGAGTGCTTAGATCACGTGCCTGCTTAGCTCTGGTGAGTGCTTAGTTCTGGTGAGTGCTTAGCTCTGGTGAGTGCTTAGTTCTCGTGTCTGCTTAGCTCTGGTGAGTGCTTAGTTCTGGTGAGTGCTTAGATCTGGTGAGTGCTTAGTTCTCGTGTCTGCTTAGTTCTGGTGAGTGCTTAGATCACGTGCCTGCTTAGCTCTGGTGAGTGCTTAGTTCTCGCGTCTGCTTAGTTCTGGTGAGAGCTTAGTTCTCGTGTCTGCTTAGTTCTGGTGAGTGCTTAGATCACGTGCCTGCTTAGCTCTGGTGAGTGCTTAGTTCTCGTGTCAGCTTAGCTCTGGTGAGTGCTTAGCTCTGGTGAGTGCTTAGTTCTCGTGTCAGCTTAGCTCTCGTGAGTGCTTAGTTCTCGTGTCAGCTTAGTTCTCGTGAGTGCTTAGCTCTGGTGAGTACTTAGATCACGTGCCTGCTTAGCTCTGGTGAGTGCTTAGTTCTCGTGTCAGCTTAGTTCTCGTGAGTGCTTAGCTCTGGTGAGTGCTTAGTTCTCGTGTCAGCTTAGTTCTGGTGAGTGCTTAGATCACGTGCCTCCTTAGCTCTGGTGAGTGCTTAGTTCTGGTGTCAGCTAAGCTCTGGTCAATGCCTAGTTCTCATGCCTGCTTAGCTCTGGTGAGTGCTTAGTTCTGGTGTCAGCTAAGCTCTGGTCAATGCTTAGTTCTCATGCCTGCTTAGCTCTGGTGAGTGCTTAGTTCTCGCGTCTGCTTAGCTCTGGTGAGTACTTAGTTCTCGCGTTTGCTTAGCTCTGGTGAGTGCTTAGATCACGTGCCTCCTTAGCTCTGGTGAGTGCTTAGTTCTGGTGTCAGCTAAGCTCTGGTCAATGCTTATTTCTCGTGCCTGCTTAGCTCTGGTGAGTGCTTAGCTCTGGTGTCAGCTAAGCTCTGGTCAATGCTTAGTTCTCGTGAAAGATCAGTTCTCGCGTCTGTTTAGCTCTGGGGAGTGCTTAGTTCTGGTGCCTCCTTAGCTCTGGTGAGTGCTTAGTTCTGATGTCAGCTAAGCTCTGGTCAATGCTTAGTTCTCGTGCCTGCTTAGCTCTGGTGAGTGCTTAGCTCTGGTGAGTGCTTAGTTGTGGTGTCTGCTTAGCTCTGGTGAGTGCTTAGTTCTCGCGTCTGCTTAGCTCTGGTGAGTGCTTAGTTCTCGTGTCTGCTTAGCTCTGGTGAGTGCTTAGTTCTCGTGTCTGCTTAGCTCTGGTGAGTGCTTAGTTCTCGCGTCTGCTTAGCTCTGGTGAGTGCTTAGATCACGTGCCTGCTTAGCTCTGGTGAGTGCTTAGTTCTGGTGAGTGCTTAGCTCTGGTGAGTGCTTAGTTCTCGTGTCTGCTTAGCTCTGGTGAGTGCTTAGTTCTGGTGAGTGCTTGGCTCTGGTGAGTGCTTAGTTCTCGTGCCTGCTTATCTCTGGTGAGTGCTTAGTTCTCGCGTCTGCTTAGCTCTGGTGAGTGCTTAGATCACGTGCCTGCTTAGCTCTGGTGAGTGCTTAGTTCTGGTGAGTGCTTAGCTCTGGTGAGTGCTTAGTTCTCGTGTCTGCTTAGCTCTGGTGAGTGCTTAGTTCTGGTGAGTGCTTAGCTCTGGTGAGTGCTTAGTTCTCGTGTCTGCTTAGCTCTGGTGAGTGCTTAGTTCTGGTGAGTGCTTAGCTCTGGTGAGTGCTTAGTTCTCGTGCCTGCTTAGCTCTGGTGAGTGCTTAGTTCTCGTGTCAGCTAAGCTCTGGTCAATGCTTAGTTCTCGTGAAAGCTCAGTTCTCGAGTGTGCCTAGCTCTGGTGAATGCTTAGTTCTCGTGAATGATCACTTCTCGTCAATGCCTTAGTTCTCGTGAATGTTTACTTCTTGTCATTGCTTAGCTCTCTTCAAAGTTTAAATCTCGCGAATGATTCGTCCTGTCGTGAAGTTCGTAACTGTGGCGTCGTCCAAGGCGGCATCAATTTACCGTGCAGAGTTGCACAACCCCATCATTGTTGGTTAGAATCGCATATTCTCCCTGTGTGCTTGGTGTGTGTGTGTAACTTTATAGCTAAAATGGATAGAATTATCATTAAACCGCCCGCATGTTATCAAAAATCAGCGAGCCACTGTAACTTGATAATGCCTCTTGCTGCTTGACGACGGGCCATTATTACGCCCGTTGTTAGGTGACGTCGTGGGGTAGGGATAGGTGACGTCACGTTGAATAGTGACGTCATCTGGTTTGTTCTATGACGTTTCCACATTTGTAAAAGTGGGTCAGTGGCATTCGTGTTGATTGCAGTAAATGTTTCCACACCGATATTAATGTTTCTTTTTATTTGATAACAAACTCCAGCCATTTTAGCTATAATAACGGTAACGTTATTTTTCAGGGCATTATCATTTGCAGAAACACTCGGCTTTTTCAACTGCCCTCCTTCGTCGGGCAGTTAATGGAAGACCTCGGGCTTCTGCAAATGATAATGCCCTGAAAAATAGCGTTATCGTTCTAGTAATAATGTTCAAAGCAGGGTGCTTAACCAAATGTCCTCACTCATACACTCGAAAGATGAAAGTATTTCAACTTTAAATTTCACCCTATGACACGTAACTCATTGTTGACAAAATGCATGGCACAACAATAGCCCTTACCTTGCAATGAGATTCACACTACTCAATCGCGTCTTCAGCAGTCCAACGAACATCTGCAACTACATCGGTTCCAGCGAGTGAAATGGTTTTCGCCAGCTGCCCCAAAGGAACAGGGCTTCATGACGTTTACCAGCTATTATTCCCTTGATGCGCCACGGGTGTTTTTGACTTTAACTCAGTGGAGTGTGTCGACACTAATGGAATAAGTAACCGTCGTATTGACGTTTTTTATCTCCACTAGAAGTCAAGGTGTATTTCATTAACTAATAACATACAGATGGTGAGGTGTAGCCATGTTGTAATGTTCAAGGAATAATGAATGCTTGAAAGATACATGAGAAGGCTTGACAGGCAATACTTTATTGACAATAATTTTGTTTTGCTTGGGCAGTAAAGCTTACAATAAATACCGCAAATCAACTACAAATTGAAAACACTATTTGAATTTGTTGTATAGGTTTATCAATGTACTACGGATGGTTCGAATCAGAATTCAACTTCTTCTTCAATTGTATTCTTACAACGTGATGGTCCAGGAACGATGCTAGTACCTGATGATATCAGCTTCAGTTAGTCCCAATCGGGCTAACACCCGTCTCTAGCTCATTACTGGGGAATACACCACTAACGTTCATGTGCTTCAGTGAGTCAATTTACCAGTAAAAAGTCATGACAAACTTTCCATTCTCCAGTCTTTTGAAACTCGATGGAAACATGAACATGCTATACTTAAAAAACCTCGAGTCACGCTTCAGTGTCGCATGTTTTATCTTATGAGAATTACCGTCAGAGATTTTTTATGAATATGGAAATGGCTTTGTCGTTTTTAAATACGAAAAACAATGGCCAGATTGGTTAATGGTTGTGGTGGGATAGACTATTTAACATGGACTTATCCACACCACTCTCGGAGGGGTTAAATGTCTTTCTATTGTGTACCGACGAAGCAAAATACAAGATGGATGAGTGGCTGCTGCAGTGATGTGTGACTGAGGTGGTGAGTGAGTTGGTGGGTGAGTTAGAGGATGAGTGGGTGCTGGACGGGTGTGTGAGTGAGTTGGTGGGTGAGTTAGTGGACGAGTGTGTGCTGGAGGGATGTGTGAGTGGGTTGGTGGGTGAGTTAGAGGACGAGTGTGTGCTGGAGGGATGTGTGAGTGAGTTGGTGGGTGAGTTAGTGGACGAGTGTGTGCTGGAGGGATGTGTGAGTGGGTTGGTGGGTGAGTTAGTAAATACGTGTGCACTGGAGGGATGTGTGAGTGGGTTGGTGGGTGAGTTAGTGAATATGTGTGCACTGGAGGGATGTGTGAGTGGGTTGGTGGGTGAGTTAGTGAATATGTGTGCACTGGAGGGATGTGTGAGTGGGGTGGTGGGTGAGTGAGTAAATACGTGTGCACTGGAGGGATGTGTGAGTTGGTTGGTGGGTGAGTTAGTGAATATGTGTGCACTGGAGGGATGTGTGAGTGGGTTGGTGGGTGAGTTAGTAAATACGTGTGCACTGGAGGGATGTGTTAGTGGGGTGGTGGGTGAGTTAGTGAATATGTGTGCACTGGAGGGATGTGTTAGTGACGTGGTGGGTGAGTTAGTGAATATGTGTGCACTGGAGGGGTGTGTGATTCGATTGGTGGGTGAGTTAGTAAATACGTGTGCACTGGAGGGGTGTGTTAGTAGGGTGGTGGGTGAGTTAGTGAATGTGTGTGCACTGGAGGGGTGTGTGAGTGGATTGGTGGGTGAGTTAGTGAATACGTGTGCACTGGAGGGGTGTGTGAGTGGGGTGGTGGGTGAGTTAGTAAATACGTGTGCACTGGAGGGATGTGTGAGTGGGTTGGTGGGTGAGTTAGTGAATATGTGTGCACTGGAGGGATGTGTGAGTAATATATTGGTAGAGTTAGTTAGAGGGTGTGTGCCCGCCCTAGATTACTAGTATCGAGTGTTTTATATACCTCTTCTATTATAATACCATGGGCTCATTCGCTACTTCGTCTTAAGACAAATCCAAACGGCATGATGCAAAAAATAACCTTCCAATCAAATTACAGTCACTGACGATAGACATTATGTGTAAACTAAGAACTTAACTAAACTAAACTAAACTAAACTAAAGCACCTTTGGTGACTCATCTCTTTATATTGACATGAATATTATTTTAAGTAGCTTAATAAACTCTTAATTAGTGAACTCTTTTTTATGTATTTGTTAAGTCAGCACTTGACGACACACACGTATTTTCTCTGAAAGGAACCAAACAATTTGTTTTCAATCCACTTTTATTTAACAGAACATCTACCGCGATTTCAGGGTAAACCTGAGGACAAATTAGTTTTGGGGGGCATCAACGAGGAGAAATTTATTTTTTCCCTGACTGTTTTTTCCAACCTAAAACACATTTTTACTTTCTCAAACTTAAAACACATCTCTACGTTTAAACTTTAGATTCTTTTTGTGGAAAATATTTGAAAAACAAGAACGCGTCTTGTCTGCAGCTGGAACGTGCTACTGAGCGTGTGTGAGACAACGTCTCGAGTTGAGCTATGTTTCCTGTTTGTTAGATTATGATTATGATTATGATTATGATTATGATGATTAGTAGTAGTAGTAGTAGTAATAATAATAATAATAATTTATTTTTTTATCATTATTATTTTAATTTTTTTATCATTATTATTATTATTTTTATTTTTATTTTTTATTTATTTTCTTTATATTTTTATTTATTATTATTTATTATTATTTATTTTTATTTTTATTATTATTATTATTATCATTATTATTATTATTATTATTTACAGATTAAAATAAAAAATGCAGTAACGAGGGTTTGGGTGATCCTTGCACAGTCAGCTCAGGGCCCTTGCCCCCTCTACACCCAGCCGAGACAGCGAAATGGGACTTCTCCCTAGTCGAACCCACCGAGAACTTTTCGGAAGACTTTTTTGTGAAGACTCCCCAACACTGCAGCCTTCTGCATTAACAAGGTTGTCAGAAGGGCTGTATTCCTGGTAGCAAACCCGAGTACTCTCCCAAAGTCAGTCAACAGATTGGGAGGTACCAAACCTAAGGCACCAAGAACAATGGGGAGTCGAACAACGTTGGATGCAAGCGTGACATTTCGAAAGCGAAGCCCGTTTATTTGCCATGTTTGTCCTGAATCTTGTCAATCACATTAGTGTCAAAAGGAACAGAAAATTCAATGATACAAATTGTTTCATTGGATTTATCAAAAAGGACAAGATCAGGTTTGTTGGGCTGGGTACGACTGAGGCTGTAAACGGGCCTATTCCAAAGAATTTTGTATGACGCCCTCTAAATATTCCGGGTCGTACCATGGATGGACCTATGTGTCAATTAGTAGTAGTAGTAGTAGTAGTAGTAGTAGCAGTAGTAGTAGAAGTAGTAGTAGTAGTAGTAGCAGCAGCAGTAGCAGCAGCAGCAGCAGCAGCAGCAGCAGTAGTAGTAGTAGTAGTAGTAGTAGTAGTAGTAGTAGTATGCATAATTAATATTTCACAAGTATTTAAGGACTATACAATTATTTGAAAATATCTAATCGTTAATTTCCGAGATCGACTGTTACACTCACTCGATTTAATCGATGAAGATTCGAAGAGTTGAAATCATCTACTTGGGAGAACAAACATTCCGTTCATTGACAGCGGATGATTGAAATGTGTGTTCCAGATAGTGGATCATGGATAATTGACAACAAACTTAAAAATAGTCGATCCTTTCAACAATATTGTTCCAAATAATAATTACTAGTTGTGTTCAGTATCAATAGCTGGTCTATCTAATAGGCGGCTTATGATATATTTATGACACTAATAGAACGTCAAACCTTCCAACGATTTGCTTAAAGACAAAGAACTTAGTCAATGTTAAATTGTATGTATTTGCTTTGAGGCATAAAATAGAATAGATTGAAGGCAACGGTTTCTAAAGTAACTCGCAGCATCAGATGTTAACTCTGTTTACTGATGAAGCTGAGACAGTGGATTGGTGAGTTCGGTTGACGTCACTGAGGACAGTGAGTGAGTGAGTATGGTTTTAAGCCGCTTTTAGCAATATTCCACCAATATCACGGCGGGGGACACCAGAAATGGGCTTCACACATTGTACCCATGTCGGGAATCGAAGCCGGGTCTTCGGCGTGACGAGCGAACGCTTTAACCACTAGGTTACCCGACCGCCCCCCACTGAGTATGAGGACAAGATGCGGAATAGAACCCTATGGGTGCCGATCTTAAAAGGGAAACGTACACACAATAATCGCTTTTTTAGTTATTTGAAACAAAATGCAATTTTAAAAATAGTTAATATCAATGTTTGAAATTATACACTCATTTTCTCACATTTAAAGTAGGAAGCTTAAAATAGTGTGAAAATGTTATGCCATCATGAGGCTTTCGTTTCCGATCTGAACCAATCGTGTCCAACTCGTGTTATCCCGGGACAAGCCGAATAGCAGATTACGGAAAGGGGCGAGTGGTGACGAATGGATCTGAACAGGCCAAGTTATCCCCCTTATATTATGACGTAATTTGTGCCATTTTAACAGGATCCCTGTCTTGTCAGCAGTTAATGGTGAGACAACATGGCGTCAGACATCGCCGCCTTATGGGTTTTCGGACGCTTAAACTCAGTTCAACTTTAGACAAGAGCTCTGGTATGGTGCTGACGAAGCAAAGATCATAATCAGAGCGAAATTTGGCTAAAATCCCACGGTCAGCGGATCCTGGCACAGGTAAAGCGTCACGTGACCATGGAATATTGTACTGTTACTATGCATCAGTCGAAAGAGTCAAACCCCATGTTCGCTAATTGATGATCGTTGGTTTGTGAAACTCTATAATGCGCCCTAGGGTCCATATGCCGATCGTTAAGAGGCGACTGAATGGATCGGGTGGTCAGGCTCGGTGACTTGGTTGTTGGCGTGTCATCGTACCCCGGCGGGGTGGATCATTGATCACAATACTGGATTATGTGGTCCAGATTCGATTATGTGCGGGCCGCTGGCATACAGCTGGAATATTGCTTAGCGCGTTGTCGAACAACATACATTTGCTCTCGCACTCGCACACACACATACACACACACTCGCTCGGGCGTATGTTCGGGCACGCACGCACTGTT